AGTACCAGCTGTTTCAAGAAAAATACTACAGTATGAAAACATCAAAAAGCAGATTACCCTCATTCACAGACTGGTATGGCCCAAGATATGAGACTTCAATCTCTTTCCAATTCTTCTTGGTATTTGTTATAACTTTAACAGTAATAATGCTTGGAGGTCTTCTCCTAAAGGCTTTTGACTGCTATAAAAAATTATGCCAGCGACATGTATAAATCAGTCACATATTACTTTCAGATGACTAATTTATAATTTAGATTTGTTAATTTCACTCAATTTTCCTTGGTTTCTGAATGACAAAAAAGGCCAAACAGATATCGCAAGAACAACCACACTGAATCAGTCCAAAGAAGCATCCAGAGACAGGATACTGGACTAAAGCAGCAAGCAGCAGGTATGTACAAAGAGTTTCAAAAAAGAATAGAAAGACATTGCCCCCAGTATGCCAATAACTGAGAGTCTAGACTGTGGCTCACAAGCTTCCCAAACAAAAATCTGTTTCTGCAGCTTTGAATTCAGTAGCGCTTAACAGGCTTTACTTCCTAATCTTTTTCATATGTACATTCATATTTTTCACTATGTACCCCTGCAGAAAGGGGTTCTAAAGCTTTAAATTTCTTTTCACGTTAAAGTTTTATTCCTACCACAGTCCTTCCCATCTTAAGTCTCTGAATCCAGTGCTGAACGTAACAGTAGGACTACTAAAGCTGCAATGACTTTTCTGATAATGGTGCACCACTGATTTATGAAGACACAGTATTTTCTATATTCCTTATGCATCCAGACAAATTTGCATTTTGACTCATGCTGCTTATTAAGCATAAATTTAACCTGAGTTGTCATCAATGACAAGACATTTTTTCTTGAAATGATAAAGCTCACTGCATTCTATATTATCTTGTAAAAGATATTTAAGTAATTCCATCTAATGAGCACTACTTTTCACTTGTTAAAAATAAATGTCACCTGCCTCTCTACTATCCATTCACTTCGCTTCATTAAGTTCTCTGAAACTGTTCAGTTTCTTCTGGTCCTGACTAACAACAATATTATGCTTTCTCATTATTCCCTGACTTAAATATTTTTAGATGATGTCTATCTCGAAACAGTGCCTTGTTAGATCCAACTGTCAATCTTTCATCATAATGAAATTTTAAAAATTCTCCTCATTGGCTAATAGACAACAAGCAGTCTTTTAAATCATGAGCACACTGCCTCTTCTCAAGGCTACTTCATTATTTTAGTAATGTCTTCCTGGAGAACTAGTGTCTTGGATGCCTCAATAATGGGAGGATGAACCAGTGCTTCTCCTCCTTCCCCCAGTCTTAATTAAAAGTAATAACCATGAATCCATGGCCATGCTTTGGTTTACCATCACTTTATCAAAGACTAAAGAGAATAGGAAAAAAAAAATAGACTCCTGTTCAATTTAACCTGCAAGTCTACTGAAATATTCCTAAGCTTATGATCAGAAGAAATCTCTTTCTACTTCTTGGATGTGAAACAGCAGAGAATTCTTTTCTTGATGGTCTTCTGGTCTCCAACATGCAGATGCTAACTGCATAAGCAAGATAAGTCAGTCTTCATTCACAAAGACATAGAACACAGCTGAACAGACTTTTTCCCTCCCTAGACAAGCTCCTGGCAATAGCTAGCTTGGCTCCCCTGGAGCAAATGGAAATATGACAATTATTTTGCTGTGGGGGAGCTGTAACTGGGGAGAAGGAAAAAAATATATAAACAGGAAAAGGCAGCAATCTATCCATTGCAGGCACATTATTTCTTTAATTTCGTCCTGCAGACTGGTCAAATAAACAGCTGGAGAAGAAAGGGCATACAGTTGATGCTTTGAAAGCCAGTTTATGGAGAAGAAAGACTTAAGGAGTAAGGCAGAGAGGTGAGCATAGCAGAAGATGGGCTTCAAATAATCTACAATATATTTCTTTTGAATTAAAGCAGGAGTAACTACAGAAGTATACAGAAAAACAAACAAAGTCCTTGGTTCTGCACCCTAAGATATACCTGCACAATAACAAAATCCTGTAGATGGCTCCAAGATGGACATACAGAAGAACGGTGTTGCACCTCAGGAACTTCCCCTATTTACACACTCATACATACACTAGATTGTGTTCATACATACCCCATTTTACATATGGAATGTGGTTGCCCTTGACCCAGCTCTGCTCATGTGCTGACAAACTGTCAGAAACAACGTATGCACTTGCAGAATTTAAGGGCCAAAAAACACACTCCAAAGTAAACCCCTTTTTTTCCCAAGGACAGCTGATGACAAGCACTTTGATTTTCACAGATATGTCCAGGTAACAAGTATTTCCAACTCGTTAACTCTGTTTTCTCATTAGGTATTTATTGCATATAATCACAACTGAAAATTCACTGGTCAGGCTAAGGAGATGTCCACAAAATAACATGTCAGTGCTTGAAGTGCCTGTGCCCCCTCTTTGACCAATTCCAAAAAGGGCACTCAGACTACCCACTCACGAATGCTCATCTTTATCTACATCGGTGAGCCTTTACCACAGTAGCTCTTACCTTGAAAACATAAGTTATCAATATAGGCATTAACAGAAAACGGACTCGGGAGTCACAAACACCGTAGGTGCTCAGCGGCCATTTCTATCCAAACACACCACCGTGGCAGCATTTATGCTGCTCTAGAGAGTATTTCACAGGGGAAAGACGCGCACCAGCTTTTCCCCCCTGTCGAACTGCTTTACCACAGTAGCTCTTACCTTGAAAACATAAGTTATCAATATAGGCATTAACAGAAAACGGACTCGGGAGTCACAAACACCGTAGGTGCTCAGCGGCCATTTCTATCCAAACACACCACCGTGGCAGCATTTATGCTGCTCTAGAGAGTATTTCACAGGGGAAAGACGCGCACCAGCTTTTCCCCCCTGTCGAACTGCACCTTCAAGCCGCGCGTTACGCGCCTCGGCACAGCGG